CGGAGCCCCATGGATACTGAGAGGACGTGCACCGCAATGCAGCCCTCGGGAGCCCGGGAGAGGACGTCATCCGGACCCGGTGTCACCACGATGGCCGAGGGGCCCACGTGAAGCTGGGTGACATAGATGTCCGCCGCATCAACCTTCGACTTGATCTCCAATGCGGCGGTGTTGAGATAGGAGTACCCCTCGGGCATATCGAGGGGCTTCCCTTGATATGCTACGATGCCCTTCTTCTTGGGAACAGCGGCCTTGGCCTTCTTCTTTCCGGGGGCCACCCGGATGGGGACCGCATTCAGCGGCCGAGAGGTGCTGGCCTCCCCGGCACCCCGAGGGGGGAGCACAGCAACGGTGACCCTCTCGCTTTCTCTTTGTGCCTCCTCTTCAGCTGCTTGCCAGGCGAGGGCCAACTCTTCGTCCTCACATTCTTGCTCAAAGCCCTCGGCTTCCGCCTCAGCTACGAGGGCTTTCTGCAACTCCAGGGCAACGACGGCATCCTGTCCCACCGAAGACTCTGCACTTGAGGACTCCACGTCCGAGAGGACTTCATCCTCCACCGAGGGCGCCCCCGAGATATCTTGAGAATCACTCTGGGACGACATGCTGACTCTAGTTCGAAGGCTCGTAGACGCTAGTGTTTCCTAAATTTTCTATCTCCTAACCTAAGGGCACAGTACAGGTAGCTAAGAGGTGAAGGGAAAGCGGGCACTGACCTTGAAAGCAGAAGTTTGGAGCGAAGGCCTGAGTTTCTCTCACTAGAATTTTGGGCAGAGCTTCGCTAAGACAAATGATCGCACAAGGGGAAATGGCTCTGGCCTTGGGGTATTTATAGGCGCTGGAATCCGGGCTTGGGCCCGGAAACCGGGCCTCCGGACGGACCGTCATCATTACACACCGTCATTTCACCCAACCGGTGACGCCGCCCACGAACAGCCAGCCATCACACGCCACGTGTGCCACCCCCCCAACGGCTATATCCTGTCGTTACATATTCCAACGACTATGTTTCCAACGGCTATATTCTGGAAGCCCCCGGGTTTTCTACTTCACTCCACTTCATCAAGGATAGCCTTCGGGTACACTCACTCAGAAGTGCCCCCGGGTTGTGCCCCACACAGCACATAACAGACGCCTTCGGGATCACTCCTTCAGAAACCCAGGGCTTCATATCAGGGCACCCCTCGGGGATTCCCCCTCAGCACTGCAAAACCGGGTAGCCCCCGGGGAGTTGCCTCATTGACGGATGACCCATGGCACACAGGTAATGGGAGCCCTCGGGTATCTTCATCACCAACTAATCAACAAACAGTGGACCCCCCGGTAACAACCCCATTGCCGCCCTCATCCAGCAGGCCCTCGATCCCCGAATTGAGGGGCTCCCCTTCGGCGCCACCAGGACATCAATAGCAAGCTTTCGGCTAATCAACACAGGAGCCCTCAGAAGAGAGAGCCTTCGGCATTCCCTTCATTCTCCATTTTTTACCAAGGTTTGACATTTTCGATTCATCATTGGGGGAATTCGGTGCACTCTTTTTCCCTCATTAGGATTTTTTCCCAAAGGGTTTTTCCTAATGAGGTTTTTAACGAAGCATCCCCCCAAAATGAAACGAAAAGCGTCAGCCTTCGGCCCACAACAGCAACGTAACTACTTTACTCCTTTTCACCACTTTACAAGTGCCTCAAGGAGTGGGGGACTGGAGGAACCCCTCGGGAAAATCATTAAATTACAAAATTAGTGAAATTCCGACAAACGACAAGGCAAGCCTCAAGTCCCGACATGTGGGTAACTGAGGGACTGCCTTCGGCAGGGACATAAAAGCAACAACTCCTCACCAACTTCAGAGATCACGACGGGACAACATCAAAGGGCAAGCACAAATTACTCCTTTTCCCTCAAGTACCTTTCGGCAAAAAGAGTGAGGGACTCCTGATGGAGTATATGGCCCGGGAACCCCCGGCCCACAGACTCCTACTACTCCAGCGAAGGCCCAACAGGCCCAAAAGGCCCAACAGGCCCAAATCACAGCGCCCAGAGTACCAAGCAGCCCGCACTACGCGCCAGGGGTGCCTTCGGCCCCCTGGCCGAAGGCTCTAAACTCTCACAGAACGGGTTTCTCAAGCAAACTAAGAAACTGGGAGAAAACGGCAAAAACAATAGCCCTCGGCACTGTGAGCCCTCGGCACCAAGGTGCCATCGGCTGGAGGAGCCCTCAGCTACTGCTCTATAGCCGAAGGCATCTCACTTGACAATATATCCGCCTCACATGCGTACAGATCACCGTACCCTGTACAGACGTCCCATCCAACAGCCGCATTAAATGCGGCCACATGCGGATGCCAGCGCCAACCAGTTGAGGTGACCCCTCGGCCAATGAGCGCTTGACACGTGTCCCTGTCCGGCATTTATTGCTACTATAAATAGCACCCCATTTCCCCATTTGTAACCACGCTGAAAACGGCATTCATACTGAATACATTCTCTCTCTACTTTTACTTACTTGCTCTGACTTCTCTCTAAGTTATTCCCCGTGATAACCCTTCGGATATATACCCCCGGGTAGACTATCCATCAACTGCTCTTATTTCATCTTTCTGGAGGCATTCTGAAGGAAATGTTTTTTTTGAATTCAATATAAGCATGAGATTTGAAAGTAGAATTATATTTTGCAGGTTTACATTACTTTTTCTGCACCGTGTTGAGATGGTGTACTTACAACGCAGGAACTCGACTTCATTTTGGAGGTTTTTCACTTTTTATTTAAAAAAAAAAAAGAACTGATCTGAGTGACAACTACCCTTTTTAGCTTACCAGTTGGCTTTATCATTCAAATTTTCTACCAAAAAATTGCTTATTTGACCAATTTAGTTGCTGAAATCAATATAATTGACACTTCTATCTCTTCTTTAGATAGTACTCTGCCTTTTCTTTAATTTATTGAAGATATATCTGTACTATCTGTTTTAGACAAGTCAAAGCATTTGGTTATTTGAACCTCAAATCAACAAATTCAACTTATTTAAATCACTTTAGCCAAATTTGTTCCCACCAAGAAGTGTAGTTTGGAATAGTATTGACTTTTGATAGAGGAGGTGGGGTTTGATTTGTGAATCCCCTCACTCTTAGGAGAATGGATTGTTAATCCTCTTTATAACAAAACACCAACTAAACGAATCGTTACATGGTTCTGTTTTAGGGGAGCATCGATCAATTATCAAATTATCATCGTAAACCTCTAGCAAGTAAAAACATAGAATGAATCCCATCCGGTTATGGGCATTTCCCCAGCATGATGAATTTAAGCAATGGAGAAAGTCTTGGTCGTGAGAAGGTAGCAACTCACTTTCACTTATACATTTTCAACTGAACCATGACTCTGAACTTTGGTTCTGCTTTTTTATTCTATGGTCTACACTATTGAAGTTGGACAAGTTGGGCTTAAATTAATTACCAAGGGTGACAGACAAACAACAGTCTCAAAGGAGTGAAGTGTAGGTGTGAGTAATTTTGCTGATGGAAGGTTTGTTGAGCAGCTCAAGTCCAAAAATATCAGCTTCGGTAGAGTATTAACACCAAATTGATGCTATAGAGTATTAGTGGTGGCTTTATTTTGTTAATTTTTGCTACTTATAATATTGCAAAGTTAAAATGATGCAAGCTATGTTGAACGAGATATTGAGAATTACTCTAAAGACTTGATTTATTGGATTTCGATGACGATGCAAGGAATTATGATGTCTAGCGTGTAGCATTTAAAAACGTTGTATGATTAGAGTGTAGATTTATAGCATCTTGTAATACACTACTTGTAAGAAGATATTTTCGGTTCTAGTGAGAGTTGAGAGCTCTTCTCTCCCAATTTGGCCTAACGGTCACTTTTGGCTCTTTCACGCCGGAAACCGCCTCTCCACCACCGCACTCAGCCACCATCTTCCACACTTCGGAGCTAAGTAACCAACCATATTGCATGACCATCCTCTTGGCCTTGTAATATCTTTGTTTTCTTACCTCCATTCACGCAAAACCAGTTCGCAAAACCACTATTCACGAAAAAAAAGTTTTGTTCGTAGCTCACTCTTCCTTCGTCGGATGCTTGAGATTTTTTAGCTGGGAGGTACTCTACCTTGGGCGAGCTCACAGCTAGAATTTGAGAACAATCCATTGGAGCCGTACACCACTTCCGAACAAGAACTCAAAGTTACTATTCACAGTTGACTTTTGGAAAACCGTAGATCTACAACAACAAAGAACTTGGGGGAAGATTCTAAGGTTTGTATGGGGGTCGCCTCAACTAGGCGCACCTCTACAACCCCTTTCTCCTTGAATCCGAGGTAATTTCATTCTCAAGTTACTATTCATCATCTTCCCCAATGGGGAAGGTAACAAACCGGAGCTCTAAACTTAAGGGAACTCCTACCGAGAAGAAATCTTCTTTGAGACTCCAAGCTTTGAAAGCTAGAGAGGCAGCTGGCCCTACTCATACACCTTTGGAGGAGGGTCAATCCGAGGCTGGAAAGGGCAATGTTGAGGAGGTTGTGCTTAATGAAGATGCCTTGACTGAGGTACAAAAAGGGAATGTCTCGGTTTTGGAGGTGGTGCCCGAAGTTCACAAACAATCCACATTGCAATTGGAGGGGGTCCTAGCTGAAGTGGATAAGGGGAAGTCCACGGATTGTGATGATCATCCTATCATTGAAGAGGAGTCAGTTGATACACAACATGAGAACAGCCACATTATTGATGAAAGCACCGCCATTTGTGCTCAAACCGAAAAGGGTGATGAGGTAACTCTTGTACCTCTTGTTGTTAATGAGATTGATAAAGGGACTGTCCCTAATGAGCAAAACAAGGCACTTGAGAATGAGGCTGAAATCATTGAGCCCCTTGTCCATCAAAGTGCTAAACCGAATGTATGGAAGTCACCTTGGACATCCTTATTTAAGGATAATAGAGAACCGAGTAAAGGAATGAAATTAAAGTTCATTGAACCCGTGGGGGATTTTGTGGACCTATCTAGTAGGAAGATGCCATCTATTGTAGACATTTGGGGGTTTTGTTTGGTAGGGTACTTCGCGGGCAGATTCCCCGGGTTAAAGGCCATCCATGAACTTGTTGCAAAATGGGAGGTACAATGCAATGTGAGGCAACATGATCAAGGTTGGGTCATATTCCGCTTTAAAAGTGAGGAGGCAAGAGCAAAAGTTCTAATGGAGGGGCCTTACACTCTGTTTGGTAAGTCCCTATACTTGAAAACTCTATCCGAGGACTTCTCTTTCAATAGTGAAGAATTTTTGAAGGTCCCCATTTGGGTTAAGTTTCCATACTTACCAATGCAACTTTGGAGTGAAGACATTATTAGTGAGGTTGCCTCACGGGTTGGGACTCCCCTAACCACGGATAGAATCACTCAAGAAAAAGCTAGATCCAATTTTGCTAGAGTCCTAATTGAGGTGGATGCCTCTAAACCTCCTCCCCTCAAAGTGAAAGTCAAAATGCCGAACCAAAAGATCCACAACCAAAAGGTTATCTATGAAACCTTTCCAAACTTTTGTTTCCAATGTAAAGTTTATGGCCACCATGCATTTACATGCAAAGTCATAGCTGAAATGGAACAAAAGGAGAGAGAGCAAAAGAAGAAAGAGCCGGACAACCAACCTGTTTTGGAAGAAAATCCACCCAAGGCTGTACTTCCTAATGCCGCGGCAAAGGGCAAGGTTGTGGCAAGTGATTATGCCGCGGCAAAGGGGACTGTGGCAAGTGATCATGCCGCGGCAACAACTTCGAACTCCAAAACTGAGGTACCAATGAAGAAGAAGGACCACCATCCTTTCATCAAGGTGGTGAGGCTTAATAAGAGAAGGAGACAAAAGAGAAAGCTACAAGAAGAGGGGGAGATATCATCCGGCTATGAAACAAAGGAAGAAGAGGAGGAACCGAGAAAAATCCAATCTTTTAGAGAAGTTTTTAATGATGAAGTGATTGTTTCCATGAAGACCGAGGAATATAGTGATCCTATCATTAAAGTCCAGCACTTTGATGATGTTAAAGAACCAACTATTCGGCTTAACCATCTTTTAAAGATGGTAAAAGCTGATGAGGCCGGAATATGGTTTACAAGAGCTTGTTTGGAGAGTCTTCCCGGAGTAAAAAAGACAAAGAGGTTCTATGGGTTTACAACGGATTTCATGAGAAGTGTATATAGACACTTCCTTGATAGATACTTTGAAGATGGTCACCCGATGGGAAATGGAAGTAAAGTCATGCATCCTACTTTGGTGAAGAAGAAAATAACACGGGTGGTGGATGACATGAGAGAGGCCTACATAGATGAGGTGATCACCAAAGTGGAGTTTGAAGAAGGTGGAGGCTATAAACTACACTTGAAGAACGTGGAGCACATGGATGAGATGATGACAAGGCTTGATAACTACCTTGACATTGACGGCAAAGGAACTAGAGATGGAATCACCTTTACAAATGCATGCTTGGATTCACTACCGGGGGCAGTCCGCACGGAGGAAGGGTATGACTTCTTCCATTCTTTTATGATTAAAGTTTATCCTCTTTTTCTTGATAGGTACAAGGGATGCGAGAGCTATAGGGAATGGGTGCAAAGAGAAAGAAAGAACAAGGAAGAGAACTTTGGAAAATACAAGAAGAAGGGAGAGAGGAAGGGGGTGAGCAACAAATAATTAGTTTTTAATGATAATAGCTTCTTGGAATATTAGGGGGCTGAATCAAGCCTCAAAACAAAATAGTATAGCTAATTTTGCACGGGTTAACAAGGTACGTATTTTTTGCCTACTCGAAACAAAAATGTCCTCTCTTACTTTTGATAATTTTGTGAACTATAGGTTTAATGCATGGATGTATGTTACTAATTTTGATAAGTTGAGTGGGGGCCGTATGGCTATTATTTGGGACCCACATTTTGTTGATGCTGTGGTTCTACAAGTGGACAAACAACATATACATGTTCGGTTCACTTGTAGAGTTACACAATTGTCTTTTTATGTGACTTTTATTTATGCCCTTTATACCATTGTACAAAGAAGGGAACTTTGGGAGCATGTAACTGTTTTGAGCCAAAATATCCTTGCGCCTTGGGTGGTTTTGGGTGATTTTAATTGTGTAGGTGCGCCAAATGAGAGAATGGGGTCTGCCCCCCCTTCGGCCTATGCTATGAAACACTTGAATGACATGAAAATGCAATCTAACCTCCTTGATGCCCCTTCCACTGGCGAGCTTTATACTTGGCATAGGGGTGCAACCTGGGCTAAGTTAGATAGAGTTCTTATTAACTCTTTGTGGAGTATGAATAATATATCATGTAAGGCCCATTTTTTTGAAATGGAATGTGAATTTGATCATGTTGCATCTCTTGTTGCTATTGGGGCTGTGAACAAGGGGGGGTCAAAGCCTTTTAAATTTTTTAACATGTGGTTAAAGCATGAACGTTTTCATGACATCCTTGAGAGTGTGTGGACTAGGAAGGTTGCTGGTACGGCTCAGTTTAGGCTTGCCCGAAAACTGAAACTACTCAAACAACCCCTAAAACAACTCAATAGAGATGAATTCAGCCATATCTCGGCTAGGGCAAAGGAATCAAAAAAAGATTATAAGAGAATCTATCAATTAGCTCTCTTAGCTCCTTTAGATGATGCCTTAAATGAGGAAATGGTCATTGCTAGAAAAAGAGCTTTGTTTTTGAAAGAAGCCGAGGAAGCCTATCTTAAACAAAAGGCTAAGGCTGTCCATATTTTACAATCAGATAGGTGTACGAAGTATTTTCATTCTATTGTGAAAAAGAGAAATGCTCATAACTCTATTGCTTCCTTGAGATTGCAAGATGGAAGTCTTACTAAATCAATGGAACATGTAGCAAATGAGTTCATAGCATTCTACAAAGATTTATTTAGCATGAAGGTTCCTATGATGGGGTATGACCCAGGTGTCATTTTATCTGGAAATATCTTGGATCAAACACTTGTTTCTGACCTCATCAGTCCCGTTACTGATTTGGATATTAAACAAGCCTTGTTTGATATAGGTAATGATAAAGCACCTGGTCCGGATGGATATTCTTCAGCCTTTTTTAAAGAAAATTGGAGTAAGGTTGGGGAGGATGTTTGTGAGGCCGTGAGAGAGTTTTTTGATACGGGGACTTTGCTTAAACAGGTTAATCACACTGTGGTTGCTTTGATCCCTAAAACTAATCATTCTCCAACGGTCTCGGACTTCAGACCTATTTCTTGTACGAATGTGACTTATAAGATCATCACTAAGATTCTTTCTTCCCGTCTAGGTCCTTTACTCTCTAGTATTATCAATCCTGCACAGGGAGCTTTTGTTGATGGAAGATTGATGTCTGACAACATCTTCCTTGCACAAGAGTTAGTGAAGGGATATACTAGGAAAAGGCCTTCACCTAGATGTATGATTAAGATTGATCTTAGGAAGGCTTATGACACTATATCATGGGAGTTTCTTGAGAGAGTATTGTTGGATATTGGTATTCCTGAACTGTTTGTGAGATGGATTATGGAGTGTGTCTCAACTTCTTCTTTTTCTATCTCCATTAATGGTTCACTCCATGGATGGTTTGAAGGAAAGAGAGGCCTTAGACAAGGAGACCCTATGTCTCCCTTGTTGTTTGTTATCTGCTTAGAGTACTTCTCACGGCTGATAGAGAGGAGGACCTTGGATCCTACTTTCCGTTATCATCCGCTATGCTCTAAGCTAAAAATAACACATTTGGCTTATGCAGATGATTTGATGTTGTTTTCTAAGGGTAATTACGCATCTATTAAGATATTAGTCGAGGCTTTGAATGATTATGGGCTAGCTTCTGGCCTCATGGTTAATCAGGATAAGTCTAATATTTTTCTAGGTGGTAATATGGAAAGTAGAATCCCGTACATTCTTGAGAGGGTGGGGTTTCAACAAGGATCCTTCCCGGTTAGATATTTGGGTATTCCGCTTGCTCCTCTAAGTATTTCTGTAGCCCAGTTCTCTCCCCTGATTGACAAGGTTACAGATTATTTAGATGCATGGAACTCAAAAACTCTTTCTTATGCGGGGAAGGTTGAGTTGATTACATCCGTTTTGCATGGAGTGCAAGCTTTTTGGATGGGCATCTTCCCCATTCCGAGGGCCATCATTGATAGAATAACATCCCTTTGTAGAATGTTTCTTTGGGGAAATAAGCATGCGAAAGTTGCATGGAGTGATGTTTGTCTACCAAAAAATGAGGGGGGTTTAGGGATTAGAGATGCTAAGGTATGGAATTGTGCCTTGCTGTCCCGAACCCTTTGGAATATACATGCTAAAAAAGACTCTTTATGGGTGAAATGGATGAATGAAGTCTATCTCTTTGGGAGAGATGTGTGGACATTTGTGCCACACACAAAGGACTCTAGGCTTATAAAGACTATTGGGACTGTCCGGGACTTGCTCATATCCAAGTTCCCTTCTCTAGACATGGCCGTGATTCACATGGGCAAAATGTCCCAAAATGGGAAATTGTCTTCCTCGAAAATATATGATTTGCTTAGAATCAAAGGCACAATTCATCCTTGGATGTCCTTCATATGGAAGAGTTATATTCCCCCCAAATTCTCATTCATTACTTGGCTGGCCTTCAGGGGAAGATTGGCTACGTATGATTGCTTGGGGTTTCTTGATGTTGTTAACGTTTGTCACTTTTGTAAGGGTGGCCCGGAAACGGTGTCACACCTATATTTTGAATGTGTATTTACAGGACAGGTTTGGAACTTGATCCGGGATTGGCTTGGACTGACTAGGCAGATGACTACGCTTTCAAGTGCGGTTAAATGGATGAAGAAGGAGCAAACTGGAGCCAACGTCAAAGCCAAAGCCGTGAGGCTATCTTTTTGCTACACCGTCTATTGGATTTGGCGCATGAGGAATATGATTTGTTTTGAGAAGGCCAAGATTATGGTGACTGATATGGTCAAACATATCAAATTTATGGTGTATAAAGTACTTTATTACATGTATCCAATTGATAGGATAACATTCTGATCCTTTTTTGCGTTTTCGTCACCGATTTGTGATGGCTAGCATATATGCGTAGCTAGTTGGGTGAGTTATTTGAGTTTTTTGGAGGTGACGAGGTATCCTTGCTTGGGATGACCTCTTTTTGTGTTTTTGCTACTGTATAGCTGTACATAAACACTTTGGATATATATATTTACAGTTTATCCAAAAAAAAAAAAAAGTAATAAATACAAATTGCTCTTTTGTTTTGGCTATTTATTAATATTTATAATATTTATAAAATCCATAATAAAACTAGAACGCAATAACACAATAATTATAATAATAATAATATTGTAATTATATGACACCATTGTGTCGTAAATTTTTATGATACCAAGGTGTCATAACGTTTTATGATATCAATGTGTCATAATGTTGCATCACATTAATGTGTCAGAATTTACTGACACTGTTTTGTTTTACAATTAGTGACGCTATATTTAGTGTCGCTAGCCGCCACTTTCCCCGACGCTTTTTTAGTGTCATAGAAACTTTCACTGACACTAAATTAGTGTCACTGTAAGACCTTTTTCTACTAGTGAGAGTACCTCAAAGCCCTAGAAGCAGGAGCAGAAACAGCTGGAAAAGCCAAAGCTGCCACTAGAGGACAAACCTCGTGACGATGGTGATAAGGGCCGTAACAGGGGCCATTTCAAAGGCAGGCGCCCCTGGACAGGCCCCAAGCTCCTAGCACCTGAGGTCCTGACACCACTGACCCACTCTGTCAGCCATATCCTAGAGGCAGCAGACCAAGAAGGGCTGGTAGTGCGGGACCCCCGAATCAGTGAAATCCAGCAGCGAGACAAATCCAGGCCATAATGCAAATTCCACATGTTTTATGGGCATGCCACTGATGAATGCCACACGCTTAAGCTGGATATTGAGAAGCTGATTAACCGTGGCTTTTAGACACGTTTCGCCCGGAAACCTGAGTCCGGCCAGGAACGTGGCCACGAGCGTAGATCCCGGGACGAGGAGCGAGATTCTGATCGTTCCCCACACAAAAAGGATATTGGGCTGATCTCCGATGATGATTCGGCTGAGGATAACAGGCGTAACCAGCGGCGCCGACATGAGGTCCGGATGATCATTGGAGGAAACACCGGTGGAGACACGGCCGCACAAAGGAAGAAGTGGAACAACAAACTTTATGTGGGGGAAATCACAGCTCCCCCACCTGCTGCCAAGAGAGCAAGGTCGGATATAATCTCGTTCACCGACCGCGATCTGCCAGACTTCCCTTCACCCCATAGGGACGCTCTGGTGGTGAAGTGTGAGGTGGACGCGGCTATCATCCACCGCGCTTACATTGATACCGGTTCGTCTGTCAATATCATGTACATACAGACGTTCCATGAGCTGGAGCTGCACCTCAACTCTCTGAGGCCCATCCGAACTCCCCTCTCCAGATTTACCGGTGACTCCATAGACGCCGAGGGCACTATTGAGCTCACCATTAAGTTTGGGGACGGATCTCATCACTCTAGGATCCCTGTGGAGTTCGTAGTGGTGCGACTAGAGTGCGCTCATAACGTTATTCTGGGGAGACCAGCACTGGAGGACCTGGAAGCAGTGATTTCCATGAGGCACCTTTGCATGAAGTTCCCAACCGAGACCGGGGTCGGTTATTGCAGAGGTAGCCAGAAAATAGCCAGATCCTGCTACACGAAGATGACAAAGTGGATGGCTGCTAGGGACATGCGCATCAACACCATCTCACGGGCCGCGCTTGAAGAGGAAACTCCTAGAGTTGAGCCTGTAGATACACTGGGACAAATCTAAATCCAGGATTAAGGCAAGCAATAATCTCCGTTCTCGTCAAATATAAGGTTATTTTCGCCTTGGGACCCGACAAAATGTCGGGGATCAGTCGTGACATAATTATGCACAAGCTATCCGTGGACCCAAACGCAACGCCGGTCAAACAGCGCAAGCGGTACCTGTCTACAGGCAGAAGGGAATTTGTCAAGGCCGAGGTGACTATGCTCCTTAGCATAAATCACATCGCCGAAGTCGAATACCCAGAATGGCTGGCGAATGTTGTCCTGGCACCCAAGCCACCAACATTTCGCATGTGTGTCGATTATACCGACCTCAACAAGGCTTGCCCGATGGATCCATTCCCACTGCCGAACATCGATCAGCTGGTCGATGAAACAGCCGGCTATGAGCTCATGAGATTCTTGGACGCCTTCCGGGGCTATCACCAATTTTTCATGAACGAGCTCGACGCCCTGAAGACAGCTTTCATGACCCTAGAAGGCATCTTCTGCTATCTGGTTATGGCGTTCGGGCTCAAGAACTCAGGCACCACCTAGACACGCATGGTGGCCAGGGTCTTCAAGGCTGTGCTCGGCAGAACAATGGAAGCCTACGTTGATGACATGATAGTCAAGAGACGGAAAGCTAGCACGCACGCCGACGACCTCAAGGAGATCTTTAAAAGCATGAACAAGATCAACCTCCGGCTGAACCCCAAGAAATGCACGTTTGAAGTTCAAGGGGGGAAATTCCTGGGTTATATGATTAGTCAGCGGGGAATCGAACCGAACCCGGAGAAGGTGCAGGCCATACTCAATATGGAGCCACCCAGAAATGTCAAAGAGGTCCAGAGGTTAACTGGAAAATTGGCAGCCCTCAACCGGTTTCTTTCAAAATCGGCCAAGCGTGCACCGCCATTCTTCCAAATCATGAGGAAGTCCGCAAAATTCCAGTGGACTCCCGAATGCCAAACAGCATTCGCTGACCTCAAACGATACCTTGTCTCTCCGCCGGTATTGTCAAAGCTTGAGCACGGAGAATCACTATACCTCTACCCTGGCGTCAGCCACGGGGCCGTGAGCTCGGTCCTGATTTGCGAGGAAGATGGAGCTCAGAAGCCCATTCACTACATAAGCAAAACATTGCGCGACGCCGAGCTCCGGTACTCCCCAGTAGAGAAGACCGTACTTGCGGTGGTATGGACTGTGAAGCGCTTGGCCCATTATTTCCAGTCCCACGCCGTACATGTTCTCACCCACCAACCACTGGGTCAACTCATGTGGAGTTCCACAAGCTTAGCCAGAATGGTCAAATGGGCCGTTTTTCTGAGCCAATACCAGATCAAGATCAAGCCGAGGCCGGCCATTAAAGGGCAAGCTCTCGCCGACTTCATGGCAGAATGCACTGCCAGAGATCTGACCCCAGTCACCTCAACTGACGAGGACGGCTGGTGGACACTGCTCACTGATAGCTCTTCGGCAGCCAAGGCCTGCGGGGGGGGGGGGGGGGGGGGGGTCGTACTCATCACCCCTGAGGGCTTCCGAGCTTTCTACGCTATACGCTTTGCATTCAAAGTCTCCAATAACGAGGCAGAGTATGAATCCTTATTATCTGGCCTACGCCTTGCAGCTAATATGTAGACGGGAAAGCTGAGGATCAAATGCGATTCCAGGTTTGTGGTCGAGCAAATCAACGGCTCCTGTGAAACAAAGGAGGCTAGGATGAAAGAATACAAAGCTGCCGCACAGGAGCTCCTGGGAACTTTCCAGATGTATGAAATCCTGCAGATACCACGAGCTCAGAATCAGGAAGCTGACATCTTGTCCAAACTGTGCTCGGACACTCCTGAGCACATCTCCAAGATCGCTCAGGTGGAGGAACTGTCAACACCAAGCATACAACAGACTCTCATACACCAGGTACAATCCGTCCCAAGGGACTGGACTACTGACCTAAAAGAGTACATTGACAACAGGCAACTGCCCCAGGGTGAGGCCGAGGCCAGGCTCGTCAAGCTCCGAGCTCCGACCTACACCCTCCTCGATGGTGTGCTATACAAAAGGTCTTACAACGGCACGTTCCTACGCTGCCTCAACCCCAAATTGGCCAAACTGGCCATGGAGGAGATCCATGCTGGGGTCTGCTCAGCACATCAAGGCCCTAACTCAATGTCCAGAAAACTTCTATTGCAAGGATATTTCTGGCCTACCATGGCAAAGGACTGCGCCCGGATGGCACGCACTTGCAACGCGTGCCAGCAATTCCAGAACGCCCCGGGACGCCTAGCAGTGAACTACGCCCCCATAAGTACGACAATTCCATTCTCCAGATGGGGCGTAGACCTCGTGGGACAACTTCCTCGAGGCACTGGCAACTGCAGGTGGATCAGAGTCGCTATTGACTACTTCACCAAATGGATAGAAGCAGAACCACTGGCCAGCATAACCGAGGCGCAGTGCAGGCGATTTATCCACAAAAACATCCTCACTCGCTTCGGTGTGCCACAACAGCTCATCACCGACAACGGTACTCATGCTGGCCAGCTGGGGAATCAAACACACTGCAGCCTCCGTCGCTTACCCTCAGTGCAACGGACAGGTAGAAAATGCCAACCGCACCATCCTGACAGGCTTAAAGAAGAAGCTCGCAGACGAAGGCGAAGGCTGGGTGGAGGAGCTCCATAACATTCTGTGGGTTTACAGAACAAATCCCCGTAGAGCAACGGGTGAGACTCCATTCTCACTCTGTTACGACTTTGAAGCCAAAGACCCCACAGAAGTCACAATTCCGACCCCGCGGGTCCTGGCGTATGACCCCGAGCAGAACGAACAGAACATGCAGATTGATCTCAACTTTGTCGATGAAAGGAGAGAAAACGCATTCTTGAGGTCGGAAAATTACAGACGCCAAGTCAAAAGCTACTATGACTCTCGAGTCCGAGGTCGGGAGTTCTAAGTGGGGGACTACGTCCTCAGGCGACGAACGACCAGCCAACCCAATGAAGGGGGAAAGATGGCCAAGAAATTCGAGGGGCCTACATCATAACAGCGGTAGTCCGGCCCGACACCTATAAAATTAGCACTCTGAAAGGCACGGAGATTCCCAGATTGTGGAACGTCCACCACCTGGTGAGGTAC